AGAGGGGCGGCCCCGACAGCGTCCCCTTCCCCCTCCGCAGACTTCTCTCCGGCGAGCCCGGCTTGGAAGAGGGGGGGGTCCGCGCCCCGTCACCATGACGACGCCGGCGAATGCCCAGAATGCCAGCAAAACGTGGGAACTGAGTCTCTACGAGCTGCACCGGACCCCGCAGGTGACAGGGATCTTCCAGTCCCGACTCGGCCCCCCTCTCCCGCCAACTCTCCCCTCCCCCATCACAGTTCTCTGCCCGACTCGGCGTTCGAATCACCTTTTATCTTCTCAAAGCACTTCTGCACTTAAATCCGAGTTAACCCCTCAAAACAGAGGTGCCAGAGAGGTGCAGCAGATATTACTGTCTCCATCGGAGCACGGTAAACAGACGCCAGAAGTTACCTTCTCTGCCTCCTCTCAGCACGCACATGCCAGAGTACACAGACTCGTCCTGCGAGTTTCAATAGAACTCTCTCTCCACGGTTCTGACCCAAGTGCAGTGGGGCATTGGAATCTGTTTTAACAGGCACCTGAAATTCTAGTGTAGGTACTCTTGCTCTTAGAGTTTTAAGGAAGCCTGTTGAGGCAGCGGACTTGAGAAGCAGAGGCAGGTGGATCTCAAACAAACGTGTGAGGTCCGCCTGGTTCTACATAGTGAATCCAGGCCAGCTAGGGTTCCACACATCGTGAGACCCCAAAAAAGCAAACAACAACAACAACAAAAAGAAGTTTGTGGAATAAATATTGGCCAAGCCATAGACCTGTGTTATCCCCCACCCCTAACCCTAGCATCTCACCAAACTCCTTGTGACTGAGTCCTCATCCCTTCTGGGCAGTTTCCACGTCGTTGGTCTCCTGCATCCCAGAATTCCCATCTTCCTCAGTTGGCTGTCCAGATTCTGCCTTTCTCAAAGCTTGCTTCTGAAATTCTTTTTCCCCACCCCTCTGCCACCTGCTGATGACCCAGGAAGCCATCATGGATGGCACAGAGATCGCGGTTTCGCCTCGGTCGCTGCATTCAGAGCTCATGTGTCCCATCTGCCTGGACATGCTGAAGAACACGATGACCACCAAGGAGTGCCTCCACAGATTCTGCTCCGACTGCATCGTCACTGCCCTGCGGAGC